GCTTTAGGTTTGACCTTCAGCAAGTTGCACACATCTAGATCCAAAAGAAAGCTAAGTGAGATGCAACTTTTAAGATCATAGTCCTCCATGGCAGAATTCACAATCCTGATCTGGCTGTCTAGGCTTGTTAGACAAGGCAGAAAAGCAGGGAGCAGTCTCACTTACTACTGCCTATAGAAGTTAATAAGGAATACCAACCTTTCTTTCCGTTAAGTTTAAGAAGCTTATAAAACCAAAGACTTCATCATCATCTTCATCATCGTCACTACTGTCTTCTTGGACTTCTGCTTGCTATTTAAGGAAAGAAAAAGTAACAACCCGTATTGACATTCTTTTTCTACTCTCTGCAGCAAGAACTGTTTTTCTTTCCAGAAGATGCTCGGCAGATGACAACCATCTAGGTAATCTGTACAAACACACAACCTACAAATTCTGGTTACGGTTATGAAGGTGCCGCATCATTGAATGTCTCTGTGTACTTAGAGCCAGCTATATAGAGCCAGGTCATCTGTCTTCTACAGCAGGATCTTTTGAAAGGCACTAAAATTTGATAGTTCACATATAATAAGCAGCATCTTGGTACAAGGCATGGCAATATCTTAAGCAAAACCAATTTTCTTCAGTTTCTAATGTAGGGAAATAAACCCGCAAAGTATTAAAAACCATAGAACAACAGAGCTTTGACAGAGAGTGAAACAAAAGGCTCAACAAAACCCTGCAATGCAAAACCTGGGAAAAGGACTGCGAGTCATGCAGGTGTAATATAAGGATCATCATAAATTTGGGTGGAAAAGCTGTCAGCAAAGACAGGATCACCTTCTGAAAGTCTGTTATGTGATTTCAACATAAGAATTGTACTTCATTTAAAAACATAAATTCTGTCTTACCTTGATAATACTTCCAATATGATTCTGTTGTATTAATAGATCAGTTAATTCAGCGGTGTTAACAGGAGCTTTTAGAAACAACTGGAACAGAAGAAACAAGTATTAAGTTTTAGGCTGATGATTTTTCACAGGCCACAATAGAAAATAAAGTAGGGAATTTAAGTTCTTATGCAATTCTCTGTTCCATTTGTGATTTCCATTTAGAAAGTTTATTTAACTTCCTTCAATATAATACTGTAAAGACTAAAAATCAGCCCCTTGAAGTGCTTGCTCCTCAACCCTCCACAAGCTGGCATTTTGCAAACCTGGTATCCTTTTGAGTTTGGTATGATCTGAGTGCTTGCTGAGCACAGGTGTACAACAGAAACAGCCAAAAGACAACTGGAAGCTATCAGATTTAACAGGCACATTACTGGTCTGTTTTTTAAGGTCTGTAATTTACAAGAAAAACCTCCAGGAAACTGATTAACACTGAATAAGGTTTTCTGAGCAGCAACTAACGTGATAAAGATGGAAAGATTATACACATCATAGAAGAACAGCTCTGTAGTTTACTGGGTAAGGTTCTTGAAACCATGGTTTAGGAGATACGTGTTCACTGGCTGTAATTATTACATTTTCATGAGCTGAAGCACAATAAAACTATAAATCAGTATCAATAATGTGAACTGATGACTTTGGATAACTCTATGGATATTATTTATTAATGGACATATCAATCAAGCTAGCAAGAAGTCAACGTACCTGTTGAAGTAATTTCTTTATCCCATTATAGTCATTGTCTGATATGGAATGTGCTTCAAATTCAATATTCACTTCCTATGAAGAAGTAACATAGAGAACATCAAACATTCTTGGCCAGAAGCTATACCAAAACAAAGCTAAACTTTAAGAAACTTGAAGACAAGTAACGGCCAACATCAGAAATGGAACTTGTTTCCATCTTTCAGTAATCTCAGCAGTTGTTATAATTTCTTCTGTAATCTTTACAGAGTGTCTGCGAAAGTAACTTTTTAGAACTAACTTATAAACTGTGTTGTGAACAAACCTTCAATGCTTTGTTCCTGCAATGTGGCTCACACAGCAATGTTTACTGTAGCCACACAGACTCTTACTGCAGAGAGGCTTGGTCCAGGCAGTTAAACTCTTAAAACTGCAGGACTGGAGCGTAATGCCTTGGCTGAAGATGAAGATTGCTCCAGATGTTTAAATTACATCCAAAATCATACTTTTGCTATTTTCTCAAATCCTAATGGTATCATTAACCCCACTCTGGAAGTCTGTTCAGTAGGCACATGATGAGACCTTGTCACAGCAAAACAGAACGTGAGCTCCTGCTCCTCCTTCCAGAACGAATGCTGTGCACCTACCAAGCATTTTTTCTGGTATTCTATATTAATAGTACTGCCTGCCAAGGCTGCCTTGCCTACCTATTCTTCTGTGAGCCACTGTTTGAGACAATCCAAATTTACTTTTATGAGGCAAGTAAACTGTTGGTTGCGATTCTACTTTTTGAACAACCTAAACAAGTGAGCCTTACTTTCATCATCAATTAAGCTCATAAATCTCTCCAATCCCAAGTGGTACACATTTCGGGGAGGGGAAGGAGAAGGAATAAAAATCAGGAGACATGCTCAGATATTCTTCTTTGGTGCAAGGCAGCTCTGTAGAAGTAACTGAGAAGCTACCTAGGTAAGAAAACAGATCGTATCTTTGGTGTTAAAAGCATTCACTCCTGGCATCCGGAACTTTCTGACTGCTTTAAAATTCAAGGATCTCACTGAATGATTAAGCCAGTAAATTCTGAACAAAACACAGTTTACGGTGGTTCTGAATACTGTGCAAATCACAGCCATAAAATTGATATAAACTACAGGAGCACTAGATGTTCTAACACTGGTCTTGCTTCATGGCTTTTCCACTACCCAAAATAACGGCCTGGTATGAAAGGGTTTACCAACCCTCCATCTTTCATCTACTGAAAAAAAAAAAAAAAAAAAAAACAAAAAAAAACACAACAAAAATTTTTTGGAGGAAAGGAGATAATGAGATCTAATAGTTGGAAACTGAAGCTTTACTAATTCAAACTATAAATAGCTAACAAAAAAAAAAAAAAAAAAAAAGGCAAATAAAGACTCATCATATATTTTGGTGTGTTCCTGTCTTGCTACTGTGTGCTTATTCTCCTCCCCCTGTGCTGCATCCAGGGGAAAGCAAAAGCCTGCAAAGCAAGGTGTTATATGTAACAATACTCTGCTATATGTAACAATACTCTGATCAACGCTCCTTCTCAGCAAAGGAGTACAGAAAAATACTTTCCTTTTTCCACCTAAAGTGGTAAGAGAAGGGAAAGGCTAATATGGCAAAGAGAAAACTACTGAGATGTACAGAGAAACAAATACCCTTTAAGCATATGAACTTTACATATGTCTAAGTTTGTACAGTTCTAAATGTTTAGTACAGTACTTGAATATTAGCAAGGCACACCTTAATGTCTTATACCAGAACTGAGGGAAACTCAATGTATCTTTATATGAAGACTTCCAAACTGAAATAGACGTAATAGTGACATATCATCCTAACAAAAGTTAGGACTACTATATTAAAGTAAGTATTATATTGCAAATTTTACCCAGTGCACAAACAATTGCAAATAAATCACAGTAGTGCACACCAGTGCAGGACATACAGAAATCATCCTCAAAACCCCTGTCACTGAAGATTCAAGGAACTTCATCCACAAACACCACAATATAAACCACTGTCCTACCTACACTATGCAGGAACGCTAAGCAGTTTAAAAAACAAAAAAAAAAAGGGGGGGATTATTGCCATTAGCTTTAATTTCATAGTGTTTAGACACAAGTGAAACATCTATCAGTTTGCAAAGACTGAGCACTGCATGAAGTACTAGCACTGCTAGACAAGAACTTCATAAACATATGTTAGCTGAAACTAAGTCAGTACCCATTTATCGTAGCACACATTTCTAGCAAGTGGTAAAAGTGCTTTTCCATCATGTTAAGTATGACTGATAATGCAATTAAACCTATATTTTTTTATCATATATTTTTTTAAAAGGTAGGGCTTGGTTTTATTTGCTAACAGAAAGTAACGGAGGCCTCATCTAAGAAAAAGGAAGATAATTAACTCAAAGTGAAAACCTAGTGAAGACAATCAAGTTAGCAAAATATTTAATTTTAAATGTACTGAGTTAAAACGCATAGATACTTCTATTCTTTGACTCTTTTAAGCCCCGGGAAGATGACAGATTGCCTTATCATCTGAAGATTTTAATAAGAGTTCCAAGTCAGTGCATATTTCTTTCATTAAAAAAAGGGGGGATTCCTCCCTTAGGGCTATGTTTCACAACTAAATAACGCGCTTTTTTTTCCCCTCTTCCTTTCTGATAGAAAAGGAAATTGGAGCAAATCCCCTGTGCTGAAAGCGCTGTTTTGAAGTCCCCCACACAGGGACGCACTGCAAGGGCCAGGTCTGTACACCTGACTGAGGCCCCGGGGACGCCAACGTTTAAAAAACAACAAAACGAAAACAGAACAAAAGAAAATATGACTCCCTAACGACTAACCGCGTACATTTCACCTCACGGATTAACGATTTACCTCACCGATTCACCCCGTTACCTGCGCTTTACCTCAGGATCCGGCGCCCGCCGCCCCAGCTGGGCCCCCACCCGCAGGTACCTCTCAAGGGGCTTCACGGAGGGACAAACCCCCTCCCCAACAGCTCCCGGCCGCGGCTTCGTGACCCCGGCTGCCCGCTTCTGTCGCTTTACAGCTCATTTTAGTCACGGCGAAGGAGAAGGGGAGGGACAAGCTCCGGCTGGCAGCGACGGCCCGGGACACAGCGGCACCGAGGGCCCGTGAGGGGATGGCGGGCGCAGGCCCGGCGCGCAGAGCGAAGGCCGGGAAGGAGCCCCGCTCCCCCCCGCTCACCTCATCGATCCCCTCCTCCTCCTCAGAGTCCGACCCCGACTCCGGCTCCGACCCCGCCTCCGGCTCCGAGCCGCTCTCCCCGGCGGGTGGCTGGGGCTGGGCCCGCCGCTTGGCCGGCGTGGCCATGCTGCCGCGGCGGCGCAGGCG